GCTTTATAATTTATAATTGCAGATTGCAGCTTTATAATTCCCTCAGCAGGGCCTTTTTTAAAATGAGAATAGCTTAGTCCATCTGGGGCATAAGCCTGCTAATGGTGGCACAGATAGGGCTTCATTGTACTGGTTTCTCTGGTTGGCTCAGTGTGGTGGAAGCATTGGAAGCGCAGCATTATGAGACCAGGTCTGCTTTTGCATTTCCTAAACAGGAAGCTAATGTATGGGGTGGGTGGGATTCATTTTGCTCTAGAAGCAGGCCCCAGATTGCAGCTTTAGCTGCTATAATTCCCTCACGCAGGGGCCTTTTTTAATGAGAATAGCTTAGTCCATCTGGGGCATAAGCCTGCTAATGGTGGCACAGATAGGGCTTCATTGTACTGGTTTCTCTGGTTGGCTCAGTGTGGTGGAAGCATCTGAAGCGCAGCATTATGAGACCAGGTCTGCTTTTGCATTTCCTAAACAGGAAGCTAATGTATTGTTGGGGGGGGGGATTCATTTTGCTCTAGAAGCATGCTAGTTCCACCAGGCCTTTAGTTGAGGAGCTGCACCCAACACACTAAGGCCCTGTGTCCAGTACGACCGCCGACAGCCTGAGCTTCGCCAACTTTAACAACAAATACTGACTACACTTACTAGAATGTTGTTGTTTTTTGAACAAAAATTTTATTCAGGATATAATCAATCATAACCAACATTAGTTATACATTTTATACCCGTTACATCCTACCCCCCTCCCTTTCCCCCCCTACATGGCTTCCCATAGTGCTACGACCTCCTGCATATTTCTTAACCTCTCTCCTCCATCCACTTCTTCATTGCAAAATCATTAGGTAACTAATAGTCAACTATTACAGTTATATCTCTATCTTTTCGTGTTATCTAAGTTCATTACTCAATAGTTATTAAAGCAAAATAAGTTGTCTCTTACATCCCAATACTTCACTTACTAGAATGTTGATGCTACCCTGCTTTCGCCATTGCCATGTAAATTGTTCACTAGCACCTTATGTTGCGTTTTTAAACTTTTACTTATATTGTTGTTTTAGCTATGGCATTTTATGTAAGCTGCCCTGAGCCTGCTTTGGCGGGGAGGGCAGGATGTAAATCAAATAAATAAATAAGATATAAATTGAGTCCAACAATGATGGACTTTTAACCAGTATTCCCTAGAATCAGACGCAAAATTCATCTCCACGTGTTGGTTATTCTCACTTTACATGACAGAGGTCTATTTAAAACAGATCCCTTGGTGTGAAATGCGGAAAGCGACTGTTTTTCAAGAATTATTTCATAGGGCAGCATTCATGCCATTCTGTAAATATAACTGATTTTTAGTTGCTGGCCCAGCAACGCCGAAATGACTTGCTGGAGTATAAATTATAGTTTATAATTTTTTTTCTTTTGGAACATCTGCCAGTGGAAACATATCTCTGTACTCTGGTTTCTGAATTTTCATTTTGATCAATTTCTCTTTCTGTCATTAACAGAAAGGAGCTTACTGCTGATGCTCGAGAATTGAAGGGGGAGTTGTACTGCTTGCCTTGCCATGACAAAATGGGGGTCCCCATCTGTGGAGCATGCAGGAGACCTATTGAAGGGCGAGTGGTGAATGCAATGGGCAAACAGTGGCACGTCGAGGTAAGCATGTGCATGCATTCTGCTTGGGAAAATAATTAGATAGCGAGATGGAGTCTTCAGAAATGGTTACTAGGTTTGGTGTCATTTTGTAAGCTGTGATACATTAAAATAGGCAAAAGCATCACTTAAAATATATAAACTTCTCCTGCTTTTTGAAGTGTCCATTCTTAGTGAGAGAGAGAGAACCAGAAATGTTTTAATAATAAAGATTAACAGATTCTTCGGAAATGCATTTCCGTTATTTTGGTGGAATCAGCTTCCTTTGGTTAAGGTAGCTGATTGAAAGGACATATGCTTTACCATTTATTGGCTTGAATCTCTGTAAATCTCAGCTGGCGGAAGGGATTCCATCAGCAGCACAAAGCTGTCTTACCTTCCCTGCTTCACTGCAGCCCAGAATGATCCCTAAACTGCTGTTCCTAAAAGAGAGGAGACACCCCCCGTGACAGGAGGAGGAGGGCATCAGTGAGAAATGCCCACCTTCCATTAGAAGAATTGTTCTGCGAGATCATAGCCATTAGTTATTAATTACTCAGTAATTTATAACTCCTGTCTCATTTTATCTTCGCAGTACCTTAAAAGGAAGGGAATACACTATCTACTCTAATGCAAGACTAGTTTTTCCCCCAAGTATGCCATCAAAAAAGGGGATCATCGTAAATTCTCATATGTCCAGTAATAAAAAACTTTTTCTGTATGGGGGGGGGGTCATTTTATATACAGGGTTGTCTTCCTTTCAAGTAAATGCATTAATCAAAAGACTCCTGGTGAGCTTTCTTCCTAAAGAGTATTTTAAGGAAGGGCTTACTGACATCAGCACTAATGCTCTGTTTAACACTCTGCACTGACTTACACCACAGCACACGCAAAACCTTGTGAATCATGCTATTATTTACAAAGATGCATTTTGATTTTTGAACAGAATATAGTAAAAGAAGGGTGCATTGCCTTACGGAATTTACAGCCTTTGTACTTTCTCTTCATATAAGATGGTTTATTGTTTATCTTCCTTAAAGCAGTATCGTTTTGAGGCAAATAGATTTCATCATAAAGAGGGTTTTGGAATGGAATGGCGGAGGATATCTAAGGCTGTATTGGCAATCTTACTTTTTTGTGTGTGGTAGTCCAGTGTTTTTAAATATGCTTATAAATGAGGGGCAATCTTGAAAAAATGAATGAAATCAAGGATGATATATTAAAGCGAAGCTTAAGTGATGACGCACTCAGAGTGATGTAGTGACTCATGCTTTTAACAGCTTCAGAAGAAATTAGCTGGATTCTGTGGAGGTTTCACTGGTGTTAGAGGAAGGAGGGTGAAATCTTCTCTGATTTGTCTCCTCACTGTAGCCACCTGACAAATATGGCTCTTTTTTTAATATGTGGCCTTTGACTCCCTGCCTTTGGGGAGGACAAAGTTAGCTGCTGGGGGGAAACAGGGAGAGGTGCATTCCCACTAGTGAAATGCCCAGAAGATTCAACCCAATGATCTTTCTACAGATAACCCAAAATGTTTTTTCTTTGCAGCATTTTGTGTGTGCAAAGTGTGAGAAACCATTCCTGGGACACCGCCACTATGAGAGAAAGGGACTGGCATATTGTGAAACCCATTACAATCAGGTATGATTGCATCTTGCCTTGTAATGATAGAGCTTTTAGCATGTTGAAGTCCCAGTTCTGCCCTTTTTATGTCTAGTAATAAGTGATGAAAAAATGAAAAATCACACAGATGTGAAATTCAGCAAATTTCCAGCATTTCATGATAGAGCGACTTGGAATAAGAATCTGTTTTAAAAGCTTTGGAGTGTCTGATATTCTGCCTTTGATGTGGCATTCTGGTGTTTTTTCTTCTTGGTTTCTTGACTCAAAACACATTTGGGAAGATGGTTCCAGTTTTCAGCTGTAAACCATAACTGGTTTACATACAGGGTTTTTTTGCAACATAGATATCACATTTGAATTCGGGTGAATTTAATTTTTTGCATTTGTTTCAGCTTTATTTGTGTATAAGTATTGAAACATTATGACTATGTGGAAAGCAGCATGATGAAAACTATATAAGCATGGGCTAAAAATACTGATACAGTAAAATCTGTTCTAAGATGTCCCCTCAGGGGGTTGAGTGTACATATGCATGAGTGTAATGGTTTTATTTATTCACTCATTACCAAGGTCATCACTTGTCAAGAAGTCAACACTTAGTTATTTGATGCTGAAGGAATACCCTTCCATGGTAGCCTGCTTTAAAAAACAAACTACCATTTTACAGGTTTGGGTTAGTCTGTGACATCCTGTATTACTTCCACTTGGGACTAGATACAGAATCATTCCTTTACAGTGCACCACCAAGTGGTCATTTCTGTTCCTGATTTTCATGTTATGATAATACAATTTACACTATAATAAATAGCCTTTCATCAGATTAGAATGTCTTTGCAGCGAGGGTGAATTGTAAGAGAAAACAAAGTCTTTATTTTAGAATTTAAATGTTCCTGTGTATTTCTCTCTCTCCATTTTAATAAAAAGGCTTTTCAGTTTTCCTTCTGCATTTTCAGCTGATAAAGTGCAATTTGGGAGCACCTGGGTGAAATTAAGCAGGAAGAGATGCTGTAAAGAACCAATTAGCCTAATCTAATTGCAAAAATTTTCAGAAACAGTACGAACATTACATTATTAACAGCCCAATCCTGCTGTCAGTATTTGCATTTTTAAATAGATTGCATCAGTTCCTTCATTGTTGCAAATCATACTAATTACAATGGTGAGATAACAATGCTGCCATATGTGTAATTTTTTTTATTTAAAAAGCACACACACGTTCAACTGCTTTTATTTCCTCAAATGCTATGGACAGATGTGTGAGTGTGAAAATATTTTTCATGTCCCCAGCTGTTTGGTGATGTTTGCTTCCACTGTAATCGTGTGATTGAAGGAGATGGTGAGTTTTCATTTGCTTACACATTTTTCACAATTTCAGCAAAAAGCATTTTAGTGAAAACTATTCAAGGGAAAAAAGTTCACCATAGATAGCTGGTTGAGTGCATTTCAAAATAAAATGCAGAATGATCTTAAACAGGGGCTTGGGATCTCTCTGTTGCAGTGAGACACTTAAAGGTGGATTCATTCACTTCTATCACTGACTTTCAGACTGACTTCTATTGAAGCCTGATTTCTCAGGTGTACAATGATATCAGAACTTAAGTGATCTTATGCTGGTATTAGTTAGGCATGCCTGTGTAAATGTTGAGGTTTGGTATGCAAAAGATTTGGATTGGTCTCAGTGTGTGTAAGTGATCGATAGGCTTTGCAATTATGTGAAATAAATGTTAAATATACCCCCAAAAATGTTAGTTTTGCTGTGTGTTATAGCAGATGTGCTTTAGCTGGACAAATGGCCCCTTTGGCTAATCCTGTAATTTCTCTGCTCTTTCCTAGTTGTCTCAGCCTTGAATAAGGCCTGGTGTGTCAACTGCTTCGCATGCTCCACTTGCAACACTAAGTTAACTCTCAAGTAAGTGTACAGGGTGCTTCTGATAATGAAAGCAGTCGTGAGTCAGTGACATCATCCAGATTGTCGGGTGATGTGGTTGTATATTTGCCGCTGCTATAGGGAGACTTGCTTTTATTGGGCGTGGTTGTATATTTGCTGCTGCTGCTATAGGGAGACTTGCTTTTATTGGGAAGGAAAAGAATAAGAACTGTGTTTGTTCAACATGATTCCTAGGTTACATCCCTGAATATTGCCTTGGTTTATTGGGAGCTTTTCTGCATTGTGTGGAGCACGTGATGTATTGCTCCCTTTCTCCCACAGGATACACGTGATCATAGATTCCTTAATTGTGGCAATATAACCAAACACAGCATGAAGCGGAGCAGTTCAGTATGAATGTTTAGGACTGCTACATACATTCTCAAGTCAGCTGGTATACCATAATGGTACATGGTGTGCACCCTACAATGCATGAGAAGCAAACGTTACTTTTTCAAATGTTGCCCAGTGGTGCACACTGTTTTAGTCAGAACTCATTGGAGATCCCTACAATGTGTACAAACTTCTGTTTAAATCTTTGCCTTTCACAGGATACATGCAGTGCGCAGGGGGGGCGTACAAAATTTTCGGAACATGCTTCTTCGGTTCCCAACCTTGCAAGGATGAAATCATTGTTGGTGTAATAATTCAGCCTTTAGCAAGAGGCACAAGCATCCTTTCCTATTGATATACTTACAGTTTTCACCATTTCTGTTTTCCGCTCACTTCTTTTTACCACTGTGCCTGTATCTTGACTCTGTCCTCTTCTCTTTTCTATTTCTTCTTCGCCCAACCTAAAAGGGACAAGTTTGTAGAAATCGATCTCAAACCTGTCTGCAAACACTGTTACGAGCAAATGCCTGAAGAGTTTAAGCGGAGACTTGCAAAACGGGAGCGAGAAGCAAAGGATAAAGACAAAACCAAAAAGAAAAAGCCCATCTGTCTGTAAATGCTTCATTCCTGTCTACTGCCATCTGTCTTCCTTCCTTGTTCTTGGTCAGTTTTTAGGGAACACCTTAGCTTTTAGAATTTATCGTGTGACTTTGGGGATCATCAAAAAGCAATTCTAAGACTTCTGGTAATGATTCTAGCAATGAATTCCTAATTGTAGGTGTGCATGGTCATCCAATGTGTAAGACACAGTATTTGTTTTCCCTTTAGTAACAAAACTCTAATTTAGTACAACTCTTTTCCCCCAGGAGAATACCTGAGCTGTTCAATGCTTTTTACAGGGGTTGTGTGTGGACTATGTGCTGCTTGCATTAAAGCAGTGGTTTTCGCCCCTTGGGTCAAGACCCTTACATGGATTGCAGAAGCCCACTGCTGGGTTACAGGCCCCTGTACACTGCCATTTTGGCTGCTTTTTGGAAGTGGCTGGTGCCCACTGAGCCGTGACCTGGGTAGCCCAGGCTAGCTCGTCTTGTCAGATCCCAGAAGCTAAGCAGGGTCGGCCCTGGCTAGCATTTGGATGGGAGACCAGCAAAGAGTACTAAGGTCATGACGCAGGTGCAGGCAGTGGCAAACCACCTCTGAACGTCTCAGCTGTGACTGGACGGCACACGCTCACTCACAGTGCCCATAGAGCTAGGATGCAGCATCTCCTGCTTCTCTTAGTTTACCATTTTTAGCAAGCTTTGGAGGATAAAATTCTCTTTTGCAAAAACAGAGTATAACTATTTTAATAATGTAAGTTAGTATTTACCTTCTTTGTTAGTAAAATGATAAAAGAGAATTGTCTGATCTCCACTGAGTTGTAAAGATTGCTTTATGTATAAATCTAAATTCGTTTTCACAAAAATGCATACACACTTTACCAAAGCTCTCTCTCTCTCTTTTTCTTCCTTGCTAATTTTAGAAACAAATTTGTGGAATTTGACATGAAGCCTGTCTGTAAGAAGTGCTATGAGAAGTTTCCTCTGGAGCTCAAGAAAAGACTGAAGAAATTAGCAGAAACTTTGGGGAGGAAGTGAGGCCGAGCTTCAGATTTCATCTTGCTGCATAAAAACTAGGAAACAGTACTGTTGTTACAGAAGACTTATTTGTTGAGTCGTTGGAACCCAAGCAACTCCCTCCCTCATTCCTGTCTGCATGACTAGCTTCATAATGAAATTGTTGCCTGGCCACTTTGAAAATATACCTCTTTAAAAAACCTTTTACATCTTGCATAATCTCATATCCAACAATTAAAATCCTGTATTTTACACACACACACACACATATTTGTAGATGCGTACATCATATTTGCAGAGTAAATGGCAGATAAAAACTGGGACATTTATATACCGCAGTGGGATCCATTTCAGTGGACAGGGGGCACCACTTAGCATACTCCTTTGCAGGTAGCCACCTGAACTTTCCTAAGAAGACTTCAGTGGGCTCTGAAGAGCATATCTCTGCTTATGACACTGAAAATTACTTCTCTGAGTTCAGAGTAACTCTCACCAATTGGGCCAACTTTATTTTTCCACCAGGGCTTGGTGGGGGGACAACGACATGCGAGGCCAGGAAGAGACAAAAGAAAAACTCTTGACAGTTTGTAGGAACATAGCATGAACACATATATGAGAGCAGATAGCTACATAACAGCTAAAATATTCATCTCTGGATTCAGTATTGATAAGGTAGTTCCCTTCCACTAAACTACTCCTGGTATAAATGAGGAATTAACTTGGTGGAAGGTTCCAACTTTTGGTGCTAATTTTCATTCTTCTTTGTGCCCTGGTACAGCCAGCCTGAAATATTCAGCATGTAGATGGCCTACAAATCATGAGTATTTTTTAAAAAGAAACAAAACACAAAGAGTTATTCTTGATTGCCTCTTTGTTTTTGAGCCAATGGGACGTTACGGACACATTTTTGGATGCTCTGTTCTTACTCTGAAGGCTGGAAGCTTTTACAACAGAACAGCACTCTCAACATTTAGGAGGAATCTATTGTCAGAAAGCCTCTTAATGACTGCAAAGGAGAGCCATGTTAGCCTACCATAGTAGAACCAACCAAAGTCCAATGGCCCAGTGAAAACATCCTGGACATAGCAGGGTTTTTTTTCCTTTACCATTCTTTGGATACCCATTTTAAAGACTATTTCATAATATGCAGAAATGCTGTATTGTTCAAAGATTATTAAGGTTTGGCATTTACAGTGCAATCTTTTGTAGGTTTACTCAGAATAAGGTCATGCTTTTTTCAATGGGTTTGCTCCCAGGTTAAGTGAACATAGGACTGCAACCTTAATCTGTGTTGAGCAGAACAAAGTCCATAGTTCTTAAAGCAACCTCAGCAAGACTACTCTGCATTGCATAATTTTAGGATTGCATGCGAAAGTGGGAAACAGCAATGTTTTGCTGTCACTAGCAAAGCTACTTGAGTTCTGCAGGAATCATTCTGTGTAACAGACATGTTTCTGTGTGCTTTTGTATTTCATTTCCTTGTTGTGCCTTATTCTGCTATCCTTATGCAATAGTAGTCAAAGTATTTACCCTTTATATAATGTTAATTTTGTATTTTTATGCAGAAAATGTACACAGTATTCCAAAAGATGGCATACAGTTAAGCTTTTTGGACTTACAAATGCCTGAACTTTCAAGGCATGTTTCTGTGCAGATATTTTAAAATAGTACATGAAATAAAATAGTCCCAGCTCCAACTGAGTATATACTGTATTAATGGATCAATAAATACAGTGTTATCTACTTTTTGAAACCTGTGGTGTTAAATAAATTGGCTCTTCCACCCCCTCCCCTGATGCCTTAAAACTTTCCAACAAATTAATATATAAAAATTCTTTTTGGAAGGCTGACTGGAAGGACAGTAATGATTAATGTCAAATAACTGTGACGAACAGCAAAATGGACCCAGGTATTCTGTACATAGTGTGATCTGAGAGAGTGGCACTACCTAGGTGCTCTGAATTCCTGTAACTCCTCGCTTTCTCCTTGGGGATGCCATATTTTAGGACTGAGGGACATGGTCATCGGACCAATTTCGACCCATGCCTTGTTGGAAGTTGCGGTGGAACGCTGTCTGCCATTTCTGTTTGTGGTTATGCTTTCAGTTTCCTCTGCTTGTATGTGGGGTTATGTCAGCACGCCATCATGATATTTTTGGTACCATATGATCAAGGATGAGCCCTTTCTGGGAAACACCAGTTGCTTCCAGACAATGACAGTTCTCTGTTGTCCTCTTGTTGATGCTGCAAATGCAGAGGCCTGTTCAGTGGTGGTGGTGGGGAGATGTAGCAATTTTGCCAGCACTCTCCTGGCTTCAGTTCTCTGGGGCTGCCACACACACACCCCATGCCACCAGAGGGCTTTTCCACACTTTTAAAAACTGGTAACTGCTAGATTGCTATAGAGTTGTAATGATCTATTGCCACAATCTATTCTCTTTTCAGAATTCCCAGATTTCGTTTTTTAAAAAACAAGTCTCTAGCCCTTCTTGCTTCAGATATATAAGGAGTGACCTTATCCCTTTTCTCTCTTACATACACTTTGAAAAAGTGAAAGCCGAGTTCAAACTAGTATTTTGCTGCCTGTGCAAACCAGAGCAAACCCCATGTGGAAGTGACCACTGTTAGCAACTACAGTTGTAAACTGCCTGGGAAATTCCTGGAGATTTGGGGGCAATGCCTGCCTGGGGGGGTGGGGGGGGTGGAGTTTGGAGAGGGAGCTTAGCAGGGATGTGATGCCATAGAATTAGACCTCCAGAGCTGCCATTTTCTCTAGGGAAACTGATCTCCATTATCTGAAGATAAACTGTAATAATGATACCCTGTTTCCCCGAAAATAAGACCTACCCCCAAAATAAGCCCTAGCAGGATTTCTATGCATTTGTGGTATAAGACCTTGAGAAAAAATAAATATAAGACAGTGTCTTATTTTGGGGGAAACACGGTAGACCTCCAGGCCCCATCTGGAGCTTGGTAATCATACCAGCAACTGTTTGAGGGAAGGGTTGTTGTGCAATTACTCCTACCCATGGGGGGCATTACTTAAAACATGCCTATGGGGAAAATCCCTCTTTGGCCACTTTAAAGCAACACATTAACCACTGAACCACAGGGATATGTAAAGAATGATCAGTCCCTTCAATGATCATTCAGTAAAGGTTCCAGTCCTCTGACTATACAATTTCAGAAGTTCTGTTTATTTCAGGTCTTAATGAAAACTTTGTATCCCAGCCAATGATCACTCAGTATTCTGTTAAGAACTTTTAGTTATCCTTGAACAGATTAAAGAAACACGAATCAGAACTGTACAGAAAACACCAATGTATGTAAATGAGATTATGAAAAGAGCATATGTCATCCCTTCTACCTAGCCTGCATTTAAAGATAAAATGCAGTTTCCAAAATTCTTACCAAGACGCTATAGAAAAAATAAGATAGCCTCACCACAACCCAGATTTGGGATTTTGGGGGTATCTTACACAGACATATCTACACGTTTGACATGACTTCATTAAACCATGTTCTCGAAAGTTGTGATTTAATACACCTCTGAGCAAGCCAGCTTTGGGATTTGGGGGGTATCTTACACAGACATATCTACATATTTGACATGACTTCATTAAACCATCTAATTCATGTTCTCTAAATTAAAGATAAAATGCAGTTTCCAAAATTCTTACCAAGACGCTATAGAAAAAATAAGATAGCCTCACCACAACCCAGATTTGGGATTTTGGGGGTATCTTACACAGACATATCTACACGTTTGACATGACTTCATTAAACCATGTTCTCGAAAGTTGTGATTTAATACACCTCTGAGCAGATCAAGGAATAACTGTTGTGAAGTATGTTCTGGGCATAAAACCATTGATTCATAAGTTACTTACCTCAAGGCTGAAAATTTATATTAGCTAAAGCACTGCAAAAATGCATGCTTGTGGGTTTACACAGAATCCTAAAAGCAACAACAGGTTGTCAGTAGGACATGCTGTTGGGGAGGGAAGACATTTGCAGCAAAAGAGGCAAGGGTGTGTAGAGTGTGTTGTCCTTAAATTGCCAGTTATAAGGAGTGCAGAGGTCAGTTTAGTGTTCGCCCTGAGCGGGAGTACCTGTCAGCATTCTTAGCCGTACACATAAGCTGCAACAGTGTTTCTTCTCCTTCGTCATAACTTAGTTCCTCTGGTTCACAGAGTCCAGGACTCCCACATTCAAGACACCGCTAAATTTCAGTTCTCCATATCGGTCCTTTTGAGTTTCATTTCTCCAAAACTCAGAGGCATTTGCTTTTGGTTTCTATTTCCCATGCTGACTTTATGAACTTTCTTCCTGAAAACGATCATTTCGCTCCAAAGGTAACCATTTTAAACAAGATTAAAAATGGTGGACGCCGTTCCATTTCCACACAGGCTGGTGAATGAAGCGTGCCACTTAACAAGCTATCTCCTGTAAGATCACAATATCGCTGGAATAATTCACCTGGACACTCTGTAATAACTGCTCTTAACACCATTTCTTTCAAGTGCATACATGCAGCTCAAATAAAACTGCTAAAAGGTGAGGAAAAGGCGGCAAATAAAGTCCCAAGTCTGTGTTGCCAGATACTGAAAAGGCGTGTGAGGGTGGGGGGGAGCCTGTGGTCCCTTCTATATTTACTCAACAATGAGTCACTAAGGCTATTGCATCTGAAGAAAACCAACTTTGTTGGTCTTAAAGGTGCCACTGGACCCCCAAACTTTATTCTAAGGCTATTACCCTTTGCTTCCCTACAATTTGGTTTACGAAGAGAGCTGAGCTGCCCGAGCCTATGCATCCGTAAACCAAGCAAGCCCCAGTGAGCCTGACTCCCGAGGAAGCACGTAGCAGAATTTCCGCCGATTACCGCCGAAGGCGCACTGGGGTGGGGGGGAGAAAAACCCCGCCCACTCCTTAGGGGAGCACCTCACTTCCGCCTACTTTCGCACCATTTCCGGCGCGGGGGCGCTGGCGTCACTCCAGCCAATATAGCCGCGCCATTTGTCGCGCGCCGCGGCGTCACTGCTCTTCCAAACGGCGTTTTCCGACGGCCGGCGGGGCCCGGGGGCTCGTCTGAGGCTCTTCTCCGTGACGACGCTCGGGAGGCAGCAGCGGGCCAGGAGGACTGGGCGCGGCCTTCCTCGGTGGCCACCATGATGAGGCGCAGCAAGGCGGAGGTGGATCGCTACGTCTCCTCGTTGCTGGCCTCGGCCCCTTCTCCCAGGGAGGTGAGCGCTGGGGAGCCGGGCGGAGGCGCGTCTCTCTCTCTCTCTCTTTAACCCGGTTGACTCCCCCCCCCCCGGGGGGGGGTTATTCCTTCGCCGGCGTTCGAAGACTCACCTCTTGGGAGCCTCTTGCCGCCCGGGGAGCGCATGAGCTCAAGTACGCAGGCGCGCCGGTGTGTGGAAGGGGGCGGGGGAGGCTTTTGAGGGAAGCCCCCCCTCCCCCCGTGGCCCCTTAAAAGACTCCTTAAAAGTGTTTAGCTGAGCTGCTGTGAGTCACGAAGATTTAGCCGCATGGCAAGCTTTGACTCACGGAAGTTTATGCCGGACTAAATGTCGCTGGGTGTCTGGGGGGGGCTCTGGTTTTATTCGGCTGCCGCTCTGGAGAGGCTCGCTGTTTTCTCCGTCCCGTTATTGCGGCCCGGTGGCTGCCCTGGACAGGGAGCCGCTCATGCAGGTGGTTCGGTGGGGCTTCCTGATGCCGACAGAGCGTTTTTGAGGGCGTTCCTGTGTTTTTGCTGCACGCTGGTTTTCTCCCGCGCCCAGGGAAGTCAGAGCCTGGCAAGAATCACGTGGAAATGATTTTTTAAAGTTCCATTAGGTTATTGCTAACACTGAATAAGAACAGTTGTTGGGGAATTTTGAAGATGGCGTCTGTGCAAGCATGCCAGAACAATTTTCAGCTATTAAATAATAGAATAAAGAGCAGCATCCAAGAATCCAGGAGAGTGACCGTCTGCCCCACCAGAAGTTAGTTTGCTTCCTGATAAGCAGCTTTCTTGTTTGTATGCCGGGGGAATATTTGCCCTGTCTGTGTAAACATTTTGGGCATACAAGGCTGAATGCCAGAAGGCAAAGCAGTGGAGTGGATTCTGTATTGTATGCCATGTTAAGGAATAGAAAGAGATTGTGTGCGTCTGTACACATGCACATTATTTTAAAAAACCCTTAAAAGCTACTCTGTCTTCCAGTTGGTTTTGATGCCAAATTCAGTGTGCTAGTTTTACCCTTAAAAGTCCTAAGTAACCCAAGATCAGGATTTTCAAGGTATGCCCCTTTGTATAAATCATACAATTGGGTCATTTTAAAAAAATATCTTTTTCACATCCCCCTCATCTGAGGTGCAGTGGGTGGCTGTAGAACAGAGCTTTTTTAGGGACAGCACCGAGAGCCTGGAACTCCTTCCCATGAGTGATGGGTGTGGCTTTCCTTCACTGTGTTAAGGAGCAAGGCTTTTGTTGGGCTTTGGAGCTAAGTTCTTGTTAAATGTTGTGTGGTTGGATATAATAGGGCTTTTGGTATTGTTGTATTTTGGTGTTCTGACTTCATTCTTTAACAATGTTGAAAGCAGCCTTGATCTTTTTTTGGCTCAAAAGATGGGTAAGTGCTTGGGCAGTGACATGCTAACTGCTGTAGCACTATTGCTTTAGCAACTGTAAGTTTGTGTCACTGGTCCTTTTAGGTTAGGGGTATTCTAATGGAAATTCAACTATTCATTGATTGGTTTTTTGCTTTAAAAATGTCTCTTTCTCCTTAGAAATCCATGAAGGGATTCTTTTTTGCTAAGCTATACTATGAAGCAAAGGAATATGACATTGCTAAAAGGTAATTTTTGTATATAACAGTCTTTTATTTTTCTAAAACCATAACTGCTGCAGCAAGAGATTTACAGGTTTTTTGTCGGGTTCAGTTCATTTCTTGTTCTATAGTTTATTTCAGTTCTATAGTTAAAACACTTAAATTATGTTCTGTAGTAAGTTTGATGGATACTGGTATCATGGTTTTATTAGAAATAAGACTAGAACTCAATATTGGTTAATTATAGAGAAAATATAGATCTCATTAACAATGCAGGAAAGCTTGTATCTTGAATAAAATTTTGTTGCTCTTAATAGTGCCACTGAACTCAATGCTTTGTTACAGATGAATTGTAATAACTTATTATGCTATTTTTGTGAAGGTACATATCTTCATATCTCAGTGTCCAAGAAAGAGACCCCAAGGCACACAGATTCTTGGGACAACTCTGTGAAGCTGAAGATAATATAGAGAAAGCTGTTGGGTGTTACAAGGTAAGAAATTAGTGACCCTGAACTTTGTCTACAGTATTACTGTTCCTAGAGGAACTTCTTCAGGAAGGGCTAGCAAGCTTGTTTAAGTGAACTTGTGAACATTTGCTAGGCTATTTAGGCTACTATAGTACATTGTCAAAGGCCAGTCGGTCTAGTTGATCCAAAGCATCTCTGTGATGAGTTTCCAAGCATGAAGTAGTGGTAATTGAATATAATACTGAACTTTTTGTTTAAAACAAAGCTGCCATCATCCAATTTCGAATAAGTCATAGAAACAAGTCCTCTGGCACCATTGTGCAGCATATGGCTTTGTGGGTCACAAGCTGTGTGGGCCTGCTCCAGGAGCAGGCAGTGACACGGGGCAGAATATTTTCCAATACTGTGTTTTTCAGTGAAAAATCCCCCCCCCCATGTAATTATAGTCTTTTTATCTGTTGTGTAGCGGTTAAGAGTGGTGGACTCTAATCTGGAGAACTGGGTTTGACTCCCCACTCCTCCACATGCAGCCAGACGAAGGGAAGGTGATTGTAAGCCGCTCTGAGACTCCTTTGGGTACTGAAGAGGGGATTATAAAACCAACACTTCTGCTGCTGCTGCTGCTGTCAGGGCTGTTATGATGTGGGATAAGATGCAGTGGACAGACCCCAGTGTTTTTGCATGGTGTATTTGGCTTTTTTTGTTAGCGTTAAAATATTGCTATTTAATCTGAAATTTTTCATATTCATTTTTTTCTGGAAAGCCCACTTCACTGGGAGTGGCAAGTCTTTCCACAGCTTCAGTTCCCCCTGTCTTTCTTTAGAGATCTCTCTTTCAGCTGCCAGCAGGTGCTGAGCCGATCTCAACACCATAATCAGTTTGCTTTTTCAACCGATAGGGCAAGCTAATTGAGCTGGATGTAGCATTGTTTCCCTGTTATTCTGACTTTAATTTGGCTACCTAGTGTTACGTTTATTGGTGTTTTTTCTGGTTGCTAATACACAGTCCTGAAGTGCTAGAATGACGTGCCCCTTAATGACATGCTGTGATACTACTTCCCTCTGCACCAATATCCTTAAGGTTTTGTGTTTATATTTTCTATAAACAAGATTTCTTTCCATTTCCTGAGAAGACCGAACCAATCCCACCCGCCAGCACTCATATATATGTGTGTGGGGAAATGTCCTGTCCTGTCAGATAACTACTTGAAAATAAACGATTAGAACAAAATTACTGTGCCAGTTTTTCTGGCACTTGCTAAAAACATTAGTTTAGGATAACTATTGGCTTTTTTTAAAAAAAAAAAGTAGTTTGATTCTGGTGTTGTAAAAATATTTTATGTTAACTGTTTGCGAGCTGCCTGGAATGTCTTTGGTTGAGGAAGAGCATGACAAAAATGATACGAAGTTTTTAAGGGATGAATTTGCGTACTCTTCCTCTGAGAAGCTCTGTGGTGTGCTAGCCTCATAACAGAAAGAGGTTGAGGAATAGCAACATGCCTAAAACCATTCAAAGTACTTCATTTGAGCTAGACTTTGTTCCCTATTTTTTTTCCACATCAAAACCCAAACTTGAGGTAGGGCACCGTCTGCATCAAAGAAGGTTTCAATATGTCTATCTTTGTCTACTAATATCTGTTCTGCAGAGACTAGTAATTGCAGCTGCTTGAAACCTGTTCAATTTTTATATAGTGTCAAGAATTATGAATAAGTCTTAGGGTAGAAAAAGTATATAAAGAGATTTCTCCTGTTCAGTCTAATTGATGGTGGCAACAACAAAATAATTATGGCCTCACTATTATAAGATGTGAGGTACCCTTTGCATGCGTAAATTACTTCTCTGTGAATTGTGCAGAAACTTCTCTGCTTTGGGTAAGTTATTAAACATAAAAATGCAGTCACTGCCAACATTGTTTTTATTTGTTTTATAGCTTTTTAAGTATCACCACTCCCATGTTGGAGACTGTCTTCTTGGCTCTTTGAAATTCTTGGTGGATACTGTATTTATGAAGTGGTGAAAGCTGCACAAATCCGCATAGATGTAACCACAAAATTGCCACCTGTTGCTTATGCACCTTGTCCACTATTTACATGTATCTGTTGCAAATAAAGCAATGGAATGTTCTTCTTAAACAGGCACTTAACGCTTTTTTGATCGTATTGATTTGTTTTAGTTATTGTAATGCGTGTTTCCATATTGTGGAGAGCTTGATCTTCTGTTTCTTCATTGGGGCTTTAGCGTTCAGTGGAACTGAATCCAACACAGAAAGATCTTGTATTGAAGATTGCAGAGCTGTTATGTAGCACTGATGTTATTGATGGAAGAGTCAAATACTGGGTTGAGAGAGCAGCCAAACTGTATCCTGGAAGCCCTTCAGTTTTCCGATTGAAGGTAAAAAAAATTACTTGTATCTTCAGTAAGACCTTTCTTGAGATATCAGAAATAGAATTCTCTATTTCTAAAACACATTCTCTATTTCAAAACACATTCTCGTGCATTGTAAAGCTATGGCTGGTGTCAGTTGTGAATGCCAGGCTCATGCATTTCTTCTCACCCGTCACATTCTCATCTACTTCCTGGTTGTTGGCAAATTTGCTGTTTTCAGCTGTCAGATACAAACTAGGATTGCAAACAACAGTTTGAAAATGGTTTGCAATTCTGGTTGTTGAGATGACCATAAATCATAGTTTGCCAGTTCAGATGAAATGATAAACTGAGATTCCTGACAGTGAGTTAGTGCCGAAGGTAATTTTCTGTCAGCAGTGGGGAGGTTTTTTGCCATTTTGGCCCTCATGTTGTTCTTGATGGTCCCCTGCCCTGCAGGAGAAGCATTTCAGGGAACTTCGTAGAGAAAGTTCATTCCCACTGGCAGAATTTTCTTTCATTAGTGGAATAGAACCATTACTTCTAAACCACTGGGAATGAGGAGGAGGGCTTGTGTGGGTTAGCTTCAGGCTTGTACACCAAAACCAAGTCTGTATGTGTTTTTTTTTAAAAAAAAAAACCTCTTCAAAGTAGAGAGACACAACTTATGGTAACAATTAACTTTAAAATCCATGAATATCCAAATTAATTTTCCTCCACAGTAGCCATTTCTAGAAAGAAACTGCATTACCCTTTATTAATATTTGAATGCCTTATGTTTAAACACAGATACATAAAATGAGCTTAATGCCAACAAGACAGAAGTGCTACTGGTGGGTGGAAAGTCTGATCTGGAATTTAAGGTGTCCCCTGTTCTGGATGGGCTCTCACTCCCCTTGAAAAACTAGGTCTGTAGTCTGGGGGTGCTCTTAGACCCAGGCCTGCTGCTGGATAAGCAAGGCCAGCTGTAGCCAGGAGTGCATTTTACCAGCTTCAGGTGGTTAGCCAGCTGCAGCCTTTTGCAGGCAGAAAAGATCCGGTCACTCTTACACATGCCCTGGTTACAACTAGGTTAGATTACTGCAACACACTCTATATTGGGCTGCCCTTGAGAAGTGTTCGGAAACTTCAGCTGGTACAGAAAGCTACAGCCAGGATGTTGACTGGAATGGATCTTAGGGACAATATTGTTACAGTCTTGGCCTGTCTACACTGTCTCCCAATGTATTTCCAGGCACAATTCAAGGTGCTGGTCTTAACCTTCAAAGGCCTATACGGTTTGGGACCGAGGACCACCTACTCCTTTAAGAACCTGCCTGACCACTACAGCCGTCTTTGGAGGCCCTGCTTCTGAGATCAGGCAGGTGGCAACCCAGAAGAGGGCCTCCTTGGTCATGGCACCAAAACTCTGGAACATTGTCCCCAGGGAGATTCATCTGTCCCCTTCTGTTGCCGTATTCTGCTAGCGGATTAAAACTTTTTTGTTTCATTTGACATTTCCTCATGATCCCTCCTTCCTAACTAATGTTTTAATTGCTGTTTTTATGTTTTGTATGCGTATTAACTTTTAAAAAATTGTTTTACTTATGTGTGTTTGGGGGTGAGATTGATTTCAATGGTTTTAAAATGTGATTATTATTTTTTTATGTATCGTTCTAAGTTGTGAGCCACCTTGGTGGCCTTTGTAAGGACAGAAAGGCAGGATACAAATTTTGTAAATAAAATAAAAGCTAATTGTTTTACTGTTTTATTTCAGGAGCGTCTGTTGGATTGCAGAGGCGAAGATGGCTGGAATCAGCTTTTTGATTTGATTCAGTCTGAATTGTATGCCAGACCAGATGATGTATATGTTAACATCAGACTGGTAAAGCTGTATATGTCAAATAAAAGACTAAAAGATGCTGTGGCTCATTGTCGAGAAGCAGAGAGAAATATTTCGTTACAGTCAAGCTTGGAATGGTGCTTATGTGTTGTACAGACTCTTAAGGTTCGTTTGGGGGGGATTTTGCTTTTTATTTCTCTAATGCTGGCATATTTCTTTAGGGCAGGGGTTCTGAAGTATTGTAGCAAGCTTCTTCAGTAAAGATTAAACAAGTTTCCCCATTGTAAGTTGGCGTAGCTCCCCTTCGTCCATGGTTTGGGACTAGTAATTTGTGAAGAAGAGATCATATCCGTGTGTGTTTACAGTATGTCTTCATGATGTTGGCTTCAAAAGCTGCCTTTCTGTGTGCAGAAGGCTGTTCTACACTTCAGTGACAGTTTAGGCAAGAGAAATAAACTGTAAAGCCGCTTTTCTGTTTGCGTAAGTGGAGACATGAGGACTACTTTAGAACCTTCCTAGTATTGAGCAAACTTTATGGAACAGCACTAGTAGCTATTTTCTATTCATGCTTCTTTGTATCCACACTATCAGTCCTGTTACACTAGGTAGAGCATTGCCTTGGCATGGTCAACAGTGCGCTTGTTACCAGCCTCTCGGGATTTGTTAGGAAAGCACTCATCTCACCATCATCAGACTTTGCCTTTCAAATTAAGGACTGTTCTTTCAAAGGACTGGGCTGTATCAGCATACAGATTGAAATATTCTTAGTCTCATAATGTTTTAAAAGTCCCCTAATTTGCAAGTAGAGAAATAGGTACCACTTAGTTGGGAAGGTAACAGCGTTCCGTGCGCCTTGGTGTTTAGTCATGCCGGCCACATGACCACGGAAACGTCTTTGGACAGCGCTGGCTCTTCGGCTTTGAAACGGAGATGAGCACCGCAACCCTAAAGTCAGATTCGACTGGCTTTCGAGCAAGGGAACCTTTACCTTTACTTTCATTTGCATATAAAGCAAGGTTTTTACTTTGTTGCATACACTGTTGAATGTTCCTGTGAACAGCATCTGCTTCATACTCAAAATATCTTGGTGAATGGATGTATTTTGTATTTAACCATCTACTGTGTATAAAAGCATGGTGGAGGTTTGATAGCTGACACATTCTTTGAATTATTTCTTCTAGGAATATCTGAAATCCATACAAGATTCTGAGTCTGATAAAGCTAATTGGAAACGAACCCACCAGGATCTATTATTGGCTTACTCTAATCTGGTTGTAATGATGCTTTCAAACAGAGATGTAAAAGAGAGCAGAGAGTCCCTTGAAAGGTATTTTACTTTTATTGTCACTTCTTTTAATAAACTTGACATTTCCCTGCCTGTCACTGGAATAGGACCACTTATAAAGTGAGGTTTTCCAAGTAAGACAGAAAAATAGGTTGTAGACTTAAAACAAAACAACGGCCCAGCGAGCACAGGGTATGATTCTTACCCTCTGGGAGCCATGATATATTGAGTCTAGTTTATGGAGAAGGGAAATTGATTTGCTCAAGCTCCCATAGTATTCCAGAGAAGAAAATAGAGATTGATGAGGATTGAAGATCATGCACCCAAGAACACATGTGGGAAAAGAGAGGTAGAGCCCCTAACTGCTTCTGTCATCCTGTAATGAAGTATGATCTGTGATTGGGGTATGTGTGTTATGAGATATGCATTACCTAAAGTCTTGCATTGTATCACTCAACTTCCTGCTCACCTAGGCCTGAACCAGGATGACTGTGCTATAGTACTAGCCTGCTCAGGTTTGGGGCTAGGTGAGCAAAAGCTGCTCATCTAGCCCTGAAGCTGGTGGGGAGGGGGATAACAGAATTTCCTCTTGGTCAAGAGAGAACTCTTCTAATGATTCCTGTCTGGGCAAGAAAATGCACACAGATTCTTGTGGTTTTAACAAAGCCTCTGCATTCTTTTGAGGTCTTGGGTCTGCCCACTCCCTTTTTTGCTCTTCTGTCTGTGGAAAGCATAGCAGAGGAGCGGCAAAAAGCAAAGGAAACAAAGTCTAAGAATTTACAAACCATGCTGTGTTGGTTTTGTACTCATTGTGTTTGTAGCAATGGGTACTGATCCCCAAAACTGGTATTGATACTAATTAACACCCTTGTCTTGTAGCTTTGATCGTGCACTTTATTCAGTGATACAGCATGTGACTAGAGATGATGAGCTGTCTGTAACCTTCCTGGAAATGAGAGGTCACTTCTACATGCATGCTGGAACTCTGCTCTTAAAAATGGCCCAACAAAGTGAGGTGCAGTGGAGAGCTGTTTATGAACTGGCAGCATTGTGTTACCTTATAGCTTTCCAGGTAAGCTACTTTCAACAGCATGCACTGTTTTTGACATGCTGCACTGTCTGGTTGACACTGCTTGTGTTGTAGTTTTGTGCTAAATGCAAAAGAGGTGCTTCCATAGGGTGTGATGTATCACAACACTCTTATCAGCTCTTCAAATTGTAACCACATTTTTGAACTTTAAAACCCTTATAAACTAGAAGTCTGTTCTGGTGGGGAATGTGGGCTTATCAACAATACTAGGATGTAGTGTCTAGATGTAAAGGGGAAGATCGCAAATGAAGCCAAGATTCAGTAGTCTGTGGATAACTAATAAGTGCGGCTATGAAATTTGCCACTCACTTGGAGTTCGCCTAGCAGACAGTGCTTGCACAGAATGGCATTCCAGCAGTATTGTTCCCTGCCAGGGAACCATAGTGATGCTTTATGGCTGCTGACTCTGTGTTGCTCCTGGGCATGGGTTTCCTTGCCTTCCACTACCTCTGCTGAGGAGGCTAGCAGAATGCTTGTCATTGATTTGTGCAGAATATACCCAAATAAAAGCTAAAAAAAAAATCAGCTTTTATTTGGGCTCAGCGCTACCGGTAAGGTATTTTTGGGGTATTTTCTTGGCTCGGTTTATGCTGAATGCACACCCCTAGTCTTACCGCTGTCATCTTGACTGCTCTTGGAAAGACTGAAAGCTCAAAATACTATTTTTTCTCTGTTTTGAAGACTGGTTACCTATTTCAGTTCGTTTGCATCATGGACATGTGAAATGAACATCCAAGTATTTAATGTAGCATTACTTGTGTTAAGTGTTACATGAATTCATAATGTATACAGTTATTCTGTATAGCCTTTTCACAGTGTGTAACACCACTGGCACAAAAATTAATTTTGGTAATATTGAAGTATCTTCAGTGCAAAGAGAATTCTTTATTTTTGTGTAATCCCTACCAGGTTCCTAGACCAAAGTCAAAACTAATAAAAGGAGATCAAGCTGAGCAAGAGAAGTTGGAAATGTTAGCCTGTGACCGACAGAGCCAGTCTGGTAATAAGCATAAGTATTGATGTTTGCTTTAAAATTAAAGCTTGCTGGCATTAAGTAGGTATGCCCAAGCAGTGTATAGTTCCGTGAATTGAAATTACACATCCTGGCCTGCTTCCACAAAGGCAGTTCTTTGTAGCTCTTTTTGCTTCAATGGAATATCCATGTGGCAGTTTTCTCTGAACCATTCTTGCCTTCATGGCAGTTGTTTGGCCCTTGGTCCCAGGCATTTTTTAAAATGGTAATAGCTGTAACATTGTTACACTATTATATTATTTGTTGCAACAATGCACTAGTTCCCAGTTTTCATTTTAAGTTTCTAGCCCTTTTGCTTTTAAAGCTATTATCTGCAGCCAGTACCTGTGCTTTTATAACTCTGCAACCAAAAGGGCTAAATCAGGGTTGTCAAACATGTGGCCCATTGGTTGGATCAGGCCCTCAGAAGGCCCCAATCAGGCCCACAAGACCCTGGCTGTTTCCTACTTCCATTTGCAGTTCTGCTGCTGCTGCTATGTTACAGCTTGCTTTACCAGTCTCTCTCAATCACACAGGAGAGATCGATAGGCAAGGCTCTCCTGTGCAATTGAGAGAGTCTGGTAAAGAACTGGCTGAGGCTCCTCCCCCTCCTCCTCCCAGGCTGCAGGAGACAAAGGGCAGCCGTCCTTTCCTTTAAGCACCTTTAAGACCAACAATGTTTTGTTCAAGGTATGAGCTTTTGTGTGCCTTGCTACAGTGTATGTGTGTATTGTTAGGCTCTCCTGGGTACAACTGGGTTCCCTCCCCCTTTTTACTGTATTCATGCCCTCATGATCCAGTCTTTCTCAGTAAGAAAGCAATGTGAACTATTTTAGATGAGGAATAGCAACAAGCCAGTGAGGTGGATTAGACTGAGAGTGTGTGTCCAGACCAAGTTCACCCCCTTTGTAGGAAGTTGTAGTTACTTCTCTGAGGAAGACTATAGTTTTGTAGACAAACATGGCCCTCGTCTGTGTTAGGATGCCTTCTCGTGTTCTTGACCAGCACATGAAGCAACTTATGTACAAAAGGTTGCAATGCTCTGCCATTTCATGTTTTCCCCTGGGTCCTAGGCTAGGAACACTGACCATGAGATTTCTGTAATGAATGTCAATAAATCAAAAGTAGGTTTGCAGCTTACAGATGCACATCTGAGCAGCATACTCAATATTGTTACAGCACAGACATTTTGATGCAATAAGAACAGAGGTGTATAACTGTACCAGACACTGTTAAATAGACAATATATTGCAAGATTGCTAGTGTTTTAAGCATGTTTTATTTAAAAACTCTTTAATTGTGTTTGGGTCCTTTATAAAGTGTATATTCTCCACTACCTGGCATTACATTTTATGACGTGCATGGCCCGGCCCAACAAGGTCCCATTTATGTCAGATCCGGCCCTCATAACAAATGAGTTCGACACCCCTGGGCTAGATATTTCATTTTTTAAAAATCAAGTTGGAAAATAATACATGGTAATAAATCATACTGTTAAAATAACAAGTATTTTAAAAGCTCTCCAGCGGAGGGGGCGAATGGCTACCAGCCACAGCGACTGTAGTATGGAAAATGTGGGCAGGATCTGAAGAAACATGCACCTTCGCATCAACACAGTGTCCAGGGTTCTTTGATAGCTGTCTGCCCAAAAATATTGTCTTATACCAACTTGGGAAGGATTGTAGCAAAGTTGGGGGAAACACACAAGCAGAACAAATAGAGAATGACAGCATGTGGATGCTCCCCAGAACAGTGTTAAGCCAAGGTATAAAGCAAAGCATTTGTGTAGAATAATACTGTACTTTGATACTTCAGTGCAAAGAATTCGAGAAGTACCTGAGCTGCAACCCTGGTAGCTCAAGTAGTGTCACCTTGCCATCCAAAACAGGACCCTATACAGGCCTACATTTTCTTCAGTGTTACTTTCAGCTGCTGGTATCTATATGTCAAATGGTAACTTGGTCGTGTTACCTCTAATATTGTATCTTCTGTTTCAGGCCACATGCTGCTCAGTCTTAGTCATAGCAAGCACGACTTCTTCAAGGAGATTGTTGAATCATTTGTAAACAAGAGCGGGCAAGCTGCTTTGTTTGATGCACTGTTTGGGACAGATTCTTGTAGAAAGAGTTCCCTCCTTGGCACTGATGATATCCGAAATGTTGGTGTACAAGCACCAGAAAGCATGGAACTAACCAGATATGATATTGGTAAGAGGTTTGAGAATCCTAAATTTCTGCACATATATTGTGAGTACATTGTGTGGTACCAGGGCCGGCCCGAGGGGGTGTGCACCCTAGGCGAGGCCGCCTCGTGGCGCCTCAGATGCCAATCTCCCGGTGGAGCCTGGAGACCTCCCAGCTGGCCACCTGGGGGGGGGGACAGACAGAGTGACGCCACGTGAGAGAGCGTCTGTGAGGTAGGTGGGGCTCAGAGAGCTCTCCGGAGAGAGCCCGCAGGAGGAGGAGGGGCAGGCAGGAGTGCCCGCCCCCCCCCGGTGGCAGCCTGAAGAGGCAGAGAGGCGCCCGGCCGGCCGGCTGCTAGGTCCATGGAGCTGCAGGCGGGCCGCGGAGGAGGTGGCGGTAGCAGCAGCCTCACTGTGCCAGGGCAGCTGGCCCGCTGGAGTGTCGGCCGGGAGCGGCGGGCCCCGGATCACCAGCCCACGCTGGGCAGCTGCCGCAGCGGCTCCCATGCCTGGTGCCGCTGCCGGGGCTATGCTGGAGAAGGAGGAAGAGAAGCCCCCCGCGACACCCTCTGCTTCCTCGCCGCCTTCCTTCCTTTCCTGCTTCCCTCCCTCACCGTAGAGAGAGAGAGTGCACGTGTGTGTAAGGGGCGGGCAGAGACCTGATCCCTGCTGCCTTTCTTTTTTCTGTCGCCGGGAAGGGGGGGTCAGCTGCTGCGGGCCAGAGGGCACAACCCCCCCCCCAGCGCTTCCTACACCACCCGGACCTGTTTTTGGCTGCTACTCCTCAGGTCCTCAGAGATACAAACAAAACTGGATGGACAGGTATTGGAGACATGAATTAAATAACCTTTTATTAGAAAGAAAGACAGGGAGAACTTCAACAAGACATTAACATGATCAGAACATTCAGGCTGAAGGATACACTCCACAACACTCGGAAATACTGGCTGACATTGTGTACTTGTTGCCTGTTGCTCTAGGAACTGCTTCTTGTGTTTTCTGTGTTGGGCAGAGATTCCAGGCATAAATTTAAAATTATCTAGGTACCATAAAAATGTGTATACCAACTAGTAAAGGGTTTCACACTGAAATATAAATTATTTTACTGAATAATACCTTGTGTTTATTATTATTATTATTATTATTATTATTATCATTATTATTATGTGTACTTATAACCCTTTGATAGTAGATAATGGGTTATATCCAAAGCTTCACCACCAGAGGTAAGCCAAAGGCTGTAGTAACACCTGGGCTTTAAGAACCTGCAACAGGAAGGAGACAAAAACTTAGGCTAGATCTTAAACATCAGACAGCCATCTTCCCACAGTTTCCTTTCCCATGCTTTGAGTACTTGCAGATTCTGCTCTTGAGTGTCAGGGAACCCTCAGGAATAGCAAGGTGAAGGAAGCATAGTAGGGGGAATTGGCAAAAATCTCCTTCCCCCCCCTCTGTCCACAGAAGTGCCATTCTGCCAATGTGGCTACTATTTTACCAGAAGAATGGCACCTTTGGCTCCTCTTCGGTGTTAATGATTGTTGTCCCCTTGGTTTTGCATTTTCTGCTTTGACTTATTTGACTGACAAATTGCTTCTTCTGTGAGTAAAAAATATGTCACCAAAATCCGAACTTGGTCACTGTCTCTTAATGCAGTGTTGAGAAACTTTATATTTTTGGAAGTGAATCAGTTTATGCTTGTGTTTAGGTGCCATTAGGTTGCACAGTGGCAGTCTCCAGCACCTTACGTGGCTTGGTCTACAGTGGAGGTCCACATCTACTTTGCAAGCCATTCGCAAGTGGCTAAAGCAGATCTTTCATCTGCCTCAGGAAACATCAAGGCTTGAGACCAATGCTCCTGAGTCAATATGCATATTGGACCTTGAAGTAAGAAAAAACTTTAAATCTAACTTTGAAGCACTGAAGTTTTACTTTGGTGAAGTTCTGTATGACTTAACATGTTTGTGTTTTGTGTAAAACAGGTATTTCTACTTGGAGTGATATTTGCCAGTCATTTGCAGTCCCAGGAAACAGAGAAGTTTAATACTCTGTACACTGTACACCAACCTCAGTTTCTGCCGTTGCCAATATGCAAACAGCTTTGTACTGAACGGCAAAGAGAGTGGTGGGATGCCGTTTATAATCTTGTTCACAAACGAGCTGTGTAAGTTTGACTGTTACTCTTGTTGAATGCTTTGTGGTAGGTGTCTGATTACAAACTTTGTCTTAATTACTTGCCATCTTTTCTTCTTATTCCCTGACCCTCTTCCATATTGAGGGATGTGATAAAGGAAACCTTTAGCTTATACTGGACTGGGGTTGTAAAAGCAGGTAGGGCTATCTGAGCTTTCTTTCATGTTCTTATTCTCCGTGTCAGATGGAACTTTTCTGGGCAACATTTTTAACACCTGTTGTGGAAGTTTCCTTTGTAGTGTAATTTCCTTAAACTGTTTGCATTACTTCTCAGGTGATGGTTAGTCAGAAGAACTGAATGTTGTTGTACAACTGACCTTTTCCTACATCAATTCTCTCTTTCAGACCTGGGACAGCAGCAAAAGTGAGACTTAGAGTTCAGCATGAAATAAGTAGCCTCAGAGCCTTGGGAAACCATGGACTCCAACCAGCTCTAATTATACACTGGGCAAAAAGTCTTCTTAAAACAGTATGTTTTAATCACATCTGTCCATAAGTTTCTAATACTATATGGGGGGAAGAGACTTGTTGAATGTTGATTGGCAAAGCATATAAATGGATTCCAGTCAACAGTTGTAAAACTTTAACAGTAATTCTAAATGGCTTATATTTTATCTTAATTTTGCTTTATACTGGCTTTTTGGTTTTTTCTTATTGTATGGTTGAACATTGTGTAATGTATTTTTATATGTTGGCAAGTGCCATTACTAAATACTTTCAGCTACAAAGTTAACTTCTTAATACATGTATTTATATTGTAACCTAAATTTTAGGTAATTAAACCTTGCTTAGGAAAGCAAAGTTGGGGCATTTGGCTGTAAGAATTTATAGCTTGTGGGAAAAGTAAATTGATTAATGTTTAGGGATATTATGTGGAAGCCACCTTTGGTTTCCAGACAGCAAAACTGGATCATGTCTGTCTTTCAGTTAGATTCCGAACACTAAATGTGTGTGTTCAATTTTTTTAAATTGGCATGTTGGCTTTCTAAGGAATAGACCTACAAGATGGCTTGCTTTAATGAGATAACAATTACAGCAATTAAAATACTATTAAAATATCAGTATGCATGAAAATCCCAAGATCACGAAGTAAAACAAGTAACAGCGGGATAATGATAGAAAGAGAAATGTGAAATGATACCAGATTAACATAAAAATTTCATCCCCACCGTGTTATTTTGCAGGGCTGTAGCCTTAATTCTTTCTATGACCAAAGGGAATACATTGGACGCAGTGTTTATTACTGGAAAAAAGTTTTGCCAATGCTTGAGACAATCAAGAAAAAGAAAAGTATTCCTGAGCCAATTAATCCTTTGTTCAAGCATTTTCACACTGAAGATGTTCAGGTAATAAAAGATGATGGCCACTGATAATAATCTTACAAGAGCTTGAGAACCATACAACTACCAAAGGAAAATTTTGTTTCTCTATGCATTTGAATCTTACCAACAGTTTTTGTTTCGTTGTGGTTCTTTATCTTGTCCATAAAGAGCTAGCTTACTGTCCCCTAGTAAGGAAGGGGACAGGCAAGGAAGTTCAGAAAAGTAAAAGGGTAGGGAAAAGGTAAATGTGGTGGAGGAAGAGATTAGGTGGGCAGGTAGGTGTACAGGAGGGAAAACAGAGGGACCTGGCAGATGGGTAAGGGGGGGAGGGGAAATCAGAGGAAGACAAGGGCAGGAGGGTCCCTTCCCCACAAAGTACTCACATGTCTGTCTCATCTAACTGGAGCATGTAAACCTGTTAAATTTCTAATAAATAGTTTTGTGTTAAACCATCAGTTCCTTGTAGTGTTTTACCAGCAATGTGTGAAAATGCCCATTTCACAAACTCAAGGAATAAATATTGGTAGGGAGGGCGGGGTATAAATTGAATAAAATAGATGAAAATAAAATAAATAAATATATACAATTTGAGTAGAAGTAATATATGCAGACAGTGGGCAGAAAGTGAAGAGATACTCTGTACATTGGTTAAAGCTGCCTTTTGCCATGTGGAAGCTCTTAATCTGCTTAACTAGAAAACCAGATTGTTACTTCCCCAACATCAGCAACAAATCTCCATTAATAAAGGAAATTTACTTGTAACATATCCTGTACTAAGAAATCAGTAAGAAAAATGAGCACCGTTTGTTTTTCTTAGGCTTCTCAGGTTGAAGGATACCGAGAGGAAGCACACATAGCATTTGCTATATTGGATGCTGTTGATGGAAAGACAGATGATGCTATGCAGGCATTTGAAGCTATTAAAAATGTTGTCTCGTACTGGAATCTTGCTCTGGTAAGTACTGAATTTCTTCAGGTGTCTGTCCATATACTTTGAAAGCTGCATTCTCAAGTTTGTTGTTCTTTTGGGTAGATTTTCCAGAGGAAGGCTGAAGAGATGGAGAATGATGCCCTGTCACCAGAAGAACAAGAAGAGTGCAGGAATTATCTAAAGAAAAGCAGAGACTATCTCATCAAGATAGTTGATGAAAGCGGCACAGATGCATCAGTAATAGAAAAGGTTTATAATTTCTTTTTTTGAAGTAAAGTCTGCATAACGAAGTGCATTTTTACCATGTGGTGACCACTAATCATATACCCTGTTCTGTTTTTATGTTAAACATTTTAGAAAATCAGTAGAATTTAGTACTTCTAAGATGCATGTGTTTATTCTAAAGTCTTTACTTGTGAACCAATTCAAATTTCCATCCCAAGAAACTTAAGTCTTTAATATTGAGTATGTTGGGATATGTTGGTTCACACACACAAGCCATATTTTTACACTTTCTGGTTTAACTGCCACTTCAGTTTAATTTGTTAATGAAACAAAGTAACCACCCTGAGTCTGCCTCACCAGGGAGAGCGGGGTATAAATCAAATCATGAAATTTTGGCAGAGTTTCAGTAAAGCCAGGACATATAGTTGTTCAGCATAAATTGCTTCTCTAAAACCCCATGTATTTTGTAATTTTCTTCTAGTTACCTGTATCTGTAGAAATGGTTAAGGAGATGTTGGACGGTGTATTGCAAGAACTTGGGGACAGCGGTGAAGAAAGGAGTTCTGCCTTAAACAATGATCTGAGCCAGCCCACCGAAATGGATAATAAGCATTCTACTCCATCACCCACAAAATTCTCCCTGTCTCCAAGTAAAAGCTACAAGGTATATTGACCAAGGATAATAATTGAATTTAGAATCAGTTGAAGATGGTATTATAAGCTGGTTATTTTTCCCACTTGTGCATACTAAACTAGAGGAAGAAGCTTTGTATGTGTGTGTATACACAGTTCTTGTTCTCCCTGCTCTGCAGAGCAGATTTCTGGTCACTCGTTTTTGGCCTTACAGATTTCTGGTCAGTCACTTCTGGCCTTAAGCAGCTCTGTTTACACACCTTGATCTTCTTTTCTGCCAGATGATGGAAAGAGCATGGTTACAAATGCTGGCAAGCCCACTATTCAGGCACCACATGGGCGTTGATAATGGGAAATAAGAAATTGTAAGAAGTGCAGAAGGCAGCACCTTCCTTTACATGGTCTAAACCCCTGACAATTTTTCCCCCCAGTTCTCTCCCAAAACTCCTCCTCGCTGGGCAGAGGATCAAAAATCTCTCCTTCAAATGCTCTGTCAGCAAGTAGAATCCATAAAGGTAAATATAACTGAGTTTCATACTACTGTGTATGTTGTGGGCCCACAGTTTGCAAGCCGGAGGACTAGCTCTATTTATCAAGATGTTTATACTCAAATGATGAAAATTCCAGATTTGTGATTGGAGCATATTTGGTACTAACATGGCTAAATTATATGAAATTGCTTATGCTAAAATAGCTCTGTGGTGTTTGGACAAGGTCTTAAATGTTTCACATAAATATTTAGGTAGAGTATTTATTATTATTTTGCTTGGGTAGATTGTTTAGTGCTGAAAATATTGCTGCTACATTAACTGGTTAACTTCATTTTTGTTGATTATTATCTTCATAATAATTACATACAGTGCTGAAATCTTGCAACAAGGCACCCTATTGTGACATCAGTGAGTTTCCTCAGAGAAGGGAAAACAATTTTTTAATGCCTCTTTTTTCTGTTGGGAGTAAAATATTAGTACAGAATCTAAGGGGCAAATTAGATGTGAATAATCAAGCATCTGCTAATCTTTTAAAGGCAAATTACCACACTGATGGAGTGGCCCTTATGGAGGTGATTTAATTATTCCAACCCCTGCACAGTTTAAAACCTT